CTGTGACAGTGTCTGTGAGCTCACCAGACCCCACCAACCAGGCCTGGGGGGCCCTTCTATGTGGAGGTGAAAAAAGGAAGAGGGAGACTAAGAAGATGTTTGTGAATCATGGTAAGCAGGAGAGAAGAAAGAACGTGGGAGAGGGCTAGAACCACCTTGCAACACTCACACTCCCATTTATTCTTAGTGACAGAATTGAATCCCCCCCCCCTTTTTTTTATAGACAAACACATAGCAGATTTTTCAGCCCCCTTTGCAGCTATGAGCATCCAATGAGGTATGAGCTGAGTTGGTTGGGCAGGGTTTCCATGAAAGCCCTTTAAAGGGATGAAACAGCAAGAATTATGCCCCTCTTACTTTTTCTTCTCTTTCTTTCTGGAACATCGATATGATGGCTGGAGTACCAAAAGCCATCTTGTGATTATGCATATCTTTAAGGAAGGAAACCACATGCCAAGATGGCTGAGTCAGAGACATAAAAAGTTCTGAGTACCCTATCATATCTATCCACCAGCTGTGGGCTACCCACTTCTGGGCTTCTTATCAAGCAAATTCAAAATCCTAATTTGTTTAAGTTGCTACATTTGATACTCTCCTGTCAGCTAAAAGCAATTGCTTACTGATATAGGGCATGACAGCAGCTCCAAGAGAGTCACACAGCATTAGATCCACACATGATTTTTGATGGTCAGATAGAAGTTCAGATTAGAAAGTCTAAGACTAAAGTCTAGTCAGATGATATCCTCTCCTCACTTTAAAGCTTACAAAAGCCACTCTATCTCACTTACTTGCGTCCCTCAATTGGCCCTTTTTTCTGAGACATGTGGGTCTCTCCCTCACATTCCTTACAGAGCCTGCTCCTAGGGAGTGCTCAAAATCCCTTCCCACCAACTGGGTTGATGTGGTTATCTCGCTAGGTAAACTCTAACAGGTCCTACAACCATGGGTTTGAGCAGGGGTCAGCCTCACTATGTCCAAGGCCAGTCCTGCCCAGCAGCTAACATCCATGGGAACCCTGCATTTCTTTAAAGGGAAAAATTATCTGTGTTTGTGTTGGTTTCTTACTGAGATCTATGGTAAAAACTGTGGCTTTAACTAAGGTGACCCCACTCTAGTCCCAATAAAGACCAGGTTTTACCACTGAAGCATAGTCACACTCTAATTAAGTACTTTATGAGCCCAAGCAGGACGGGCATGAGTGGATCAAAATGCTGACACCATCCCCAGGCAAATCAAAGGAACCTGGTGTCCCCATTAAGCCCAGCGAGGAGGAGGAGGAAGATATTTAGGTAGAGAAACATACCTCTAAATAGCATATAACTCCAAAACCCTGTACTCTTTGGGAAATATGAGTGACTCATGTCTCAATCATATTTTTGAACCTTGAGATCAAGCAAAGGTACTAAGTTAAAAAGTGAAATCGCACCATCTCTTTGTTACAGAGTCTTGGTGGAATGATTTATTTCCCATTTCGCTCTTATGCATCAGATTCTCTTAGGCTCTTGATACTGCCAAATTCTGTTTCCAGATGTTTTTACATAATTGAAACACTGGCACCTACTCTCTTATTTTCCCAAAATTTCCCTGTTCCCCTTATTCAAAGATAAAACAATCAAAACAACTAAAGTGATAAAATGATTAGTCTTTGCTTTAGTGATTCCAAATGCCTGGCTTTTTGCTCTGTCCTCCATGGGATACTCTCAGTGACAAAGCTCTCTGTAGAGAAAGGAGGTTATTCAATATATTTGGATCTTCTTCCCTATCACCACAGTGTTTTTATTCCAGCTGAGAGGCAAGAAATATAAATCACTTAGAGAGTAACGCAGAGATCAGAAAAATGATAAAGACCAAGTACATAATTTAAAAAAAAAAAAAAGTCAGGAAATAGTTTAGAACAAGCCAGAGTTGCAGAAAAGTTTTATGCATAAATGACAGGGGATGAGGGTCTTAAAAAACGAGAAAAGAATGGAAAGTACAGAATACTTAAAAAATTGTCACATGTCACCACTACCATCCCAGGCTTTCTCCAATTTCCATTCCTAGGACTGAACATTTGTAAGTCATTTTCCTTTTAGTCAACATTGCAAAAATCTTTCTGATTGGATAAGATGTTTTTCATTCAGTTTCAAAACTGCATTTGAAATTATACTTCTCAAGTGATTTTAGTGGCTATATTTCAGTTCCTATGTTACACAAATTAAGGTGAGTGATATTCAGGTAGATAATGTCACATGTTCAAGATGACACAGCAAGTTAGGGCAAAGTCAGACTAGAAGGCAGGCCTCCAGATCTCTATTTCAGGGTCTTTTCACTCTCCGCGGAATACTGGGCACTGTCTGTCTGTCCTCTTTGTATCATAGCATTTGTCTGGGTCTCAATATCCAAAACAGCAGACTGTCACGAAGCAGTCTACTCAAACTGCAGGAAGCTAAGGACGATGAATCACCCAAGACGGCTCCTTCCTGCTCTGGGGAAAGTGGCACAGTACATAGTACACTTGCCGAGCTCCATGTGAATCCCTCCATCAGGGCATCTTCATATGCAACTGGCATGTGTATCCTGTGGTCTACAAGCAAGGTCAGCAGCCTATAACAACCATACTTTCTACGGACCTTCCCTGAATCACCTGCCACAATGACTAGAACCTCCCTGATGTGGTCACTGATAAAATCCAGTATATATTGTTGCTCACTGAGACTCCCTCTTCAAGAGTCAATAGTCAGCCCCACACAAACACTGTCCCTCTATACTCCAAAAGGATACATTTGGGAACTTTAATACTATAAGTGTGACATCTTAGCATGCCAGCTGCTCCCAAGGACAGAGATTTATTCATATGGAACCAACGCATTCCAAGCCACCTCATTCTATTAGGATACCTAATTATTTTCATCATGCCTATTTTCTTTTTCACCCCAAGAATTTTCATATGTTTTGTTGTACTTTCTTCAAAGCACCACCTTCTGGTTGAAATGATCATCAGAGAGCCCCTCAGTTTTTTCCTGTACCCACCTTTGTGAAAAGAGTATTCTAGCATAGGGGTATTTTAAGTGCTTTGGGATTTTGAATAAACCAAATAGCTGGTTTGGTCATAGATCTTTAGTGATTATTTTCAACAACTCTCAGGGAAGAGAGGCTAAATGTGACTTTGGTAAGAATTGGGACTTTCTAGAAGATTCTTACTACTGGGATCTCTGGCTTCCCTCAAAGCTAGGTTGAATTCAGTGGGAAAGGGTCATCTTTACCAAGAAACAGGTTGCATGGCAAGAATAAATATAAGCTTTGGGACCAAAGCAATATGAGTTTGGGTGTGTCCATTTTCTCAGTAAATTCTGGCAAGAATTTAACCTGAGAGCCTCCATTCTTGGTTTGTGAAATGGGAATAATAACACCTACAAGCATAGTGGACTGAAAGTCCCTAGTGGAATTCTTGGGTCAGAATATATTCCCACAACAGCAATACTGACATGGACATTTTTGTAGAAAGATACAATTTCTGTGCTTTTTACTTATTGTATGGAGAGACAGCCCACCATCACTTTTAGTTTGAAGACTGAATTCACTGCACTCAATGTACACATTTTAAACATTCTTCTGTCCTATAGTTGCTCATGCTGAGCATTTTCTAGTGACCCCTCTATGAGGCCACAGAGTTCTATTTTTAGAGACAGCTGCTGGCAGTTAGGATAACTTTTTAGTGCCATATCCACTTGTTACAGTAAAGACTACCACCAACGAAGGTCAGCAGATGTGAGGTCGAAAGAATTTGAGAGCTTTCTTCAGAAATAACCCTATAGACATTAAGTTTCCCAGTACAAAACTCAAGGAAAAGCTCTTGGCAACCTGGTTGACAGGAGCATCATTGTTCTTTTATAAATGTAACATGACTATGCCACCATTGTGTGGTTAGAAAAACCAGAAGTTGTGTATCCAAGCCAAATGGATCTTAGCTCTTTCTTCCAGAGGAGGGGGAACGATTCTTAAAGTCTTATTGGCAGAACCAGGTCGTTCCTGAATCTTATCAACTAAGCTCACCTTTAGGAAACAGAATGCAAACGTTGATGTAATGTGCTCTGCCTATCGAGAAAGAAGCAAGCATTCAATTACCCTACAGTGGTTCAGAAGAGGTTCTGAGAACCACAAGCCTGAAAATGTACATGCTGGTTTCTAGAGGCAGGAGGTAACCTCAGAGGGAGATCCATGAAACAAATAAGACATTGAAGATGCTAGACTCTGCAGGGAGGGTGAAGGAAGGGAACTTTATGGAAAAATTAAAAATTGGGGGCATAGAATATTCCAGTACTATCTTCTCCAGCTATGCCATCGGCTCTGATAGGATACTGCCCTCAGAATTGCCCTCAGGATGTTGTGGTTCTCAGAACATCTTCTGAACCACTGTTGTAATTGAATCCAAGATGGACCAAACCTTTCACCAGAGCCATTTCTAAGTAGATTCTAGGAAACTCTTAAAATACCAGTCATAGCTATTGTAACTTCCCCCTATTTTAAATATTGCAAAATAAAACCTGAACATAACGACTTTCAGCATAGTTGTTTCCAATTATGATGCTTCATTCTAAAAATAAAAACTAAGAGAGCACTACCTGTTTTAACACTAAATAATTCATGAAAATTCTCAGATTTTCATTCCAAGTTTGCCATTATTTTTGCCTTTTTTTTTAAACAAACTAAGTCCTGAACCCCCTAGAAGTTGTTAGTGAAAATTATCCTTATATAGAATAAGCTATTATTCAAAACACCTGGTAAAATTTGTCTCTTCACAGACAACATTAATAGATGGCTCAACAAATATGTGGAGCTAAGAATTTCTCTTACAAATTGAAGGTCCACCCATACTATGGTTCTTCAAGCAAAAATGAAACCCTCCTATTGATCTCAATCAGCCCACCTCCATTATAACCACCCAAGGAATACAAACTTCCCCACACAGAGACAAAAAGAGGCCAAATCTAGGTTGTGGAGATCCCAAATTCACTCACTTGTCTTCTGAAAAACTTGTGTCCGTAATAACGTTCTTCCCTTGGGGTACATAGTTCCAGTATTCTTCCAGAATCCCAATGTGGTACGTTCTGGTAACTGCACCAACCAGCCCAGACAGACCCAGGAATGCGAGGAGAAGGATGCAGCCAGCCGGCTGCTCCCGAGGCATTGGTGGATGTAACTCAGGCAGCAGCCTGCACAGGAGACAACCCTGTTGGTCCCTCCCCCTCACTCAGACCTAGTTATAAATGAGGAATGGACCAGGCCCAGCTCCTCCTCCTGAGGTAGTTCAGAGTTGGAACAGAGGCTGATAACTTGTGTAAGCAGAGTGAGCCTGAAGAGAGAGTTGCTATGATGACAATATTTTTGCCAACCGTCCAAGAAATGTGTAACTGACTTATTTATTTACTGCCCAACCTAAACAGGCCTGTTTCTGTGAGTTTTGGTACTCTGCTCTGACATGAGTCATTCATCTCTGCCAGAAATGGTAGTGTAACAACTTGAGCTGATGGGTTTCCCCCTACCTCTTTTATTTTTCCCCACTATTACAGAACCTTATTACTATCCGAAAAGTGGGCTGTCCTGAGTGGGAGCATCAGGAAATATTCTGAGCACTAAAAAAGGTCTCATCTCTGTCGGGAAAGCAAAGGGAGTATTGTATTCACCCTGCAACTTGTTTTATGAGGCTACATGAAACGATCAAGCCACATCATAAAGTTCATAACAACACTGTAAAACCCCACTACTGCTACATTAGCTCATGCACCATATCCCCCAAATCCTCTCCAACCCCACTAACAAAACCCAGGGGCTTAACTACCCAGTTCAGCCAAAAATCTTAGAAGCCATCATCCCCAAACAATGAGCTGCCTCTCTCAGGATGAGTGACGATGACAGAGGAGGAGTACCCCTCGGGCACCTGAAGACAAGATGCACCAGCAGGTCCTTGGGTAAAGAGGTGAAGGGTGTGCCATGCTTCCATGTGTTCTGATCCGTGACCTAGAATCTCAGTGTTGAAAGAGACCTGGTTCAACCTTGGAAGAGAGCCAGTCTGATCCTCAGGCAGATTGCTCTTGAGGCAGTAGTCACAGAGTGACGGAAACAGCCTCATGGGCTTTAAGGTTGGACAGACTTGGATTTAATTCTAAGTCTCACCACTTACCAATGTCATGGCATTGAGAAATCACTTAATCTCTCTGAAATCGAGGGATTCTTAAGATCTAAAAGATGATGCCTGCTGCAAAGCACCAAGCACGGCCTCTAAGCACAGAGTGGGGCTCAGTAGATGTTAAAGTCCTCATCTCCACCCACACCCTCTAGGAGGAAGACCACATATCCTGTGTGTCTGTTGACTTGCCTTTCCACCAACCTTTTTCTTTCTTTTCACTTCTCTTTCCCAAAGTCCCATCCACCATGCCTTCCACCAGTTTCAGGTAAGGGAGTTCTTTTTTCTTTAAATTGTAGATAACCTATAAGTGTTCCATAGCACAGATTTTGAAATAATCTCTCTAAATAAAATATACATGAGTACTCTGTTTCATTGTCAGGCTCTTAATGTCTTTGCTTTATTGATTTGTTTTTCTGTCAAGGACAGTGGTAGAATAATTGCCCTAGCATGTTTTCCTTTAACTCAGATCTGCTTTTCAGTCTATGAGTTTGGAAGCTTTATGTGAGTTTGGCACATCAACAACCACTGTAGAGAACTCACATAATGATCTCTGAGTATGACCTCAAAAAGAAGTAGAGACTTAGACTGTTTGGAATCTGGAAAGATCCCCAACCAAATAACTTTTGATTTATAACCCAGGAGAGCAGGTTACTTTGGGCTTATCAAAAACTTTATGAGAATATATTCTACCCAAATTCTTTTAGATAGGAGAAACAAGAAGCATAAATTATACAGAATCAAAAAGAAAAAAGATTTAACTTTCCTGCTCAGGATACTAAAGGCACATCATGACAGTACTGGAGAGGGATCAACTAACTTCTGACTCAAAACTTGATCTTTAGAAACATAGACAATTAGAAAAAAAAATCAGAGTTGCTATAGAAGATGAAATCAATACATTTAACGCATTTGCAGTGGAGAAATTCATTACTGAAAGGCAAAAGAGTCAGGGAAAGTGTTTAATATAAACAATGAAATGGGATCGCTGGAAAACCCTCTTAGAGTCTTTCCTACTCTAGACAGTAGACAAGATCTAGACAGTACTCAAAGATCACCTCCTAAATTATATAAGAGCAAAGCAAAGAGAGATCTAAGAGAATGCAGCATTTCAAGAGCACTCATCTGAAAACTTGGTGTGATTGACCACACAAGATGTGATTGGGAATGTCTAGAAGTTGATTAGGAAACCTGTGAATAATAATGTTAACAAATACTGTCAATTCCATTGGATTCCTCAGTCTCTTTTGGACAGAAATAAAGCAGAGAAACACACCACTAGGGAGGACCTACTCTGTGAGGTATCCAGTCCTACACAGGTATCCAGTCCATGATTTTCTCAATACACTCACCCAGTTTGAGTTATGATAATATGATATCATGCATTAATAGAAAAGAAAGATAAACATGGATCAAATGATATTTCTCTGAAATGTAGTGCAGGACATTTAAATAAAAATTTCAATAGAGGAAGCCAAATCAGACAAATAATATTCTAGGTAGCCTTAGCCTCTTTGTCATTTTAAAGAACAATTTAAAATATGAGTGACAAAATTGACTGACCCATCTTGAGACTTTGCATTTTTTGAGATATGTATTAAATAATCCTTAAAAAACTCTTGACATCCAAAATTCTAGCTATAAACTTCCATCAGCCCCAACCCTCTCACTCCCTTGCTCCAGTAGATCATGGCTTTCAAACTTCATTGGACCTCCTCAAGCCCCCCAGTTGCTTGATGGTACTTCATGATCTCTCACCTGAAGCCCTGCAGCTTTCTAACTGCTCTCACTGGGGCCAGAGTGACCTTCCTGAATGCAGGCAGAACCAGAACTCTCTGCTTGAGGTTTTTCAGTGGCTCCAAGTAGCCTTCAGAATAAGTGCAGATGGCCTTAATTCACTCTCAAGGCTTATCCTGACTGGCTCCTGGGATCTGGGGGCTTCTCCTCGACTGTTCACCTTCCCATCATCATCATCATCATCATCATCATCATCATCCTCATAGCAACTGGGGTGTCCTTCATCTATGCGCCCATCAGTGCTGTGCACGCCTTTGCATGCACTTATCACGGAGTACATTAACCACCTGTTTATTTGTCTGCCCTCCCACACCCATGACACACAACTCAACACAGGCCTCTATGGCAGGGACTGGGTCTTGTTCTTCTCAGTATCCTAGTGTTTGACAAATATGCACTGGTAAAATAATGCATGTCTGAGTGAGTGAACGGATGAACACGTGAACACTAGGTGCTTACTGCTATGCACCAACTACGTGTTTGGTAGCAGTTTCTGTACCAAGTCCTTTATATTTGTCAACCTAAATAACAAATGCAGAGAGCAGATCTCTGAACAAAAAAAGAATGTAATTAGAAATAGCCAGGGATTTGCAATTCTGGGATATGCATGCTATTACTGTTCATAAGCATATCCTGTATGAGTTTAAGATTGAGGCAAGGGACATCTTTTTTCTTTTCTCTGGGGTATGTTCTAGGGACCAAACCAAGGCTAAAAATGGGTTCTACTACTAAGGGTACACTCTTAAAGACAAATATGAGGGTTACATAAATTTTTTGAAACAAAATTAAGTCTATAAGACTTAATCACAAGGGTGTCATCAACCCAAGGTAGATGTCTATATAGATGTATTCTCTGTGTAAGGAGAGCCTCTGTGCTAAGTTATGGTTCTGGCAGAGTCTCTTATGATAGGTCTTGTTATCAGATAAATAATATGCATGAGGGACTTCCCTTCTGAACCTCCTGACTTTATTTATTTGGAGGAAGGGGAGTTAACATAAGTGACTCCATTTTGATTCTGATGACATTCACATAGGTGTTATCTAATTTATTTACTATAACACCCTGATGATTCCTGTTTTATGGATGAAGAAGCTCCGGTTTGGAAAGGTTGGTGATTTTGCTTAATGCCCCAAAACTGATAAACAAAGAAGTTCTGTGCATCTCCAAAGTCAGTATTCCAACAGGCCACCCAGTGAGGGAGAACTGGGCACCAGGGACCATGGTTGCCTGCTCCATATCACTGCTGGGATGCACCTCTATAAAGAAACATGGGCTCAGGCTGTTTAAGAACTATCTATTGAAGGAGGAGCGCAAATGCCCCTTCAGCCCAGCAACCCCCTCAATGACCATTCAGATAAACTCTCATCATCACAGAATCTTACAAACGCCCAAACATACTTTCTGTTTCATTCCTTCACTTTATGTCCCACCCCTCCTCCCACCCCACCCTCCACCTACACCAATTCCTTTTCATCCTCCCAAATCCTCCTATGCTCTTTCTCTCCTTGGTTAATGCCACACCCACCACACCCTCCCTCCCACTCCCCAGTAGTTAATCACTCTTTGGCACAGGCTCATCCCTGTTTATGTTATTGATGACTTCCATGTTACTCTCTCTTATGAACTGTAAACTCCTTGAAAATCATGACCCACCAGCCTGCCATATCTGCTTCCTACCTCACCTGCAGTCTAATAGTTTTATTAAAAGAATCTGAAATTCAGGGGCTGCTTCAGCCTCCCTTTCTCAGCTGTGGGTCCCCAGGCTCTGTACTCTTGCTCTTAACAAGATTTTTTACCCTTTTAACCCCCCCCTTTTAATTTTTACCCTTTTAACCTCCCAAAAAGTGCAAAAGGGGGAGGGTTGCACTTTTGGGGGAGTTAGCCTCACCCATGCTCCCACAATGCTATATTTCATGCAAGCCTCAACTCCAAGCTGAAATCTGAGAGTCAACCCTACTTCATCCTCAAGCCCAGGGCTGGTGCTTGGGATACTTCTTATCTTGACCAGGAGATTGAAAAGGCATCTTATTCATCTCCATATCTTCAGTGGTTAGCATGAAACCAAGCATACAGGAAATAATATTAACAACTGTGGCATTTAGTGTGTGTCAGGTAGTATACTATTTTATATATGTCAACTCCTTTACCCTCGCAACCAAAATACCCTGCAAGGGAGATATTATACACTCAGTTTTCAGGAGGTTAA